GGTTAATTCACTCGTCAAGCCCTTCGTCGCAAGCGACGGGTTCGGCGAGGACGGTGACCGGGGCAGCCATAACAACGATGCAACGTCCGTCATACATTTGATGCTTTGAAGTCATGTCGCAAAAGTCGCGCGGAATTTGCATTATATTATATCTATGGGCGACAGTAACCGCTTCATATTAAATGGTCCTATTGCGTTGTGGTAAATGAGCGTGGACTGTATTTATTGTTTTGAGATACTTATTTGTTTTTATATGATAAATTAAAGACTTAAAATATGTATAAAAATCGATGCGTCGCTCTTGGCGGCTTGATTTGAAAGAAAAAGAGTGTCATGGCGGACGTCGCTCGCTGATATTTTGACGTTTAGAAAATAAACTGAAGAGTCCCGTGATTTGTTCCGTCCTATATCATCGATAATGAAAGAGATAAGTTTATATTTTCGTGTATTTAACGATGAGCTCATTATCGAGAGCATTCGTGAAAACAAAATGAAGTAAATTGTATTTTTGAGATGCCACCGGACGCCATGTTGTTTTTAGTTGGTCTAGGGAGCCCGCGCGATGAGAATGGCGCGCGGGCGTTTCATTGGCGGACGTGAAAATCGTGTGTTGCCGCAAGTAAAAAAGTTCAAAAAAAACACAAACAAAATGGAAAGAGAATATCATTAATATCGACAAGTCAATTAAATATACGATACTAAGGATAACCCTAAAACTAACGATCAGATCTTGATAGATAGGAATCACATGAGAAGCACGAATTTGCAAATAAAAAAAAGTCATAAAAATCGGTTCACATAGAAAAAAATCCAAAGGTAAAACATAAAAATTATAGTCGAATTGGGAACCTATTCGTTTTTACTAGTCGGTTTAAATACGCTCACTGTTGCGTATTAATGAGCACGAAACGTAAAAAGTAAAAAAGAATGTTACTAGACCAAAAATTTTTTTATAGATTTTAGTTTTTTTTTTTAATTTGAATGCACTAAGTATCTGTCGCAATTGGAAAATTTTGACGAGGTTGCTGTAGCATAAACACATTTAGAATCGTTCTGACTAACCGGGCAAGGTTTCACAGCATATCCGTTTCGATAGAAGAAACTATAACCGGATTTAAATTCTGTCACCGGTATCAATTCAAATTCAAATTCAAAATCATTTATTTCAACTTAGATGTCAGTATGACACACTTGTTGAATGTCAAAATATAAATAACAATGTTAACTCTACCACCGGTTCCAAAAAAAGCCACAGTCCTGAGAAGAACCGGCGAAACAAACTCAGCGGGCATTTTTTTGTTTTTTGTTTTTTCTCAAATATTTTCTTTTTTTTAAATAAATAAAAATATTTACAATAAAGGAAAAAACAAGTCAAAAAATACAATTAAAAAAATAAATAATAATAATGAAAAATGAAAAGGTCAGGAGCGAACGCCTCATTCCCACGTAGTGCCATCTAGTAAATAATCCTTAACTTTACCTATATAATATGCCTTATTGCACAAACGTTCCTTGACAGTTTTCTTAAATCTATGAACAGGTAGTAATTGACCTGTCCGTAATCGAATGTAGCATCAAAATCATATCCCCCTTCTACCTAAATGAGTCTTTAAAATCAGTCCTAAATGGGTCTTTAAAACTGCAGGTGATTTCGACGCAATCAGAGTGAAGCGTCGCACAATCTTGCTATCACTGGGATGGGTGACCGCTACGTTACCAGACTAACCTCAAAACCCAAATAGCGAACCCGCAAATGATAAGGAATGACTTATCATATAACTCTTATCGGTAATAGTAATAGCAAGGTCTGCTCTTATCAAACCAGACATGGTTTTTATTGTATTTTCGTCAGGCGATAAGTAGGGTTTTCACGTTTTTTTTTGTTGCATTACATTTTTTGTTTTTTCTACCTATGCTGATAGCCTTGAGAGGCTATCTCAGCTTCACCCTTACGTGTAGGTGAGCTCACGGGACTCAAACCGGAGTGTTGCTAACACTGGCCCTAGCAAGAGCACTGCTTCGCAGAATCTACCGCCGGATCGGAAACGCGACCCACTGAGAAGATCCGGCGAGAACCTCTGTGGGCTGTGTCTATGGGTTAATTCGCTCGTCGAGCCCTACGTCGGAAGCGACGGGTTCGGCGAGGACGGTGACCGGAGCTTGAAGTACCTAAAAGCACTGTTTATGGATCAGGAGGATCCGTAATGACGTGTTTTGGGCGACGTCGACTGTTTACCATTCGGTCTACAGGATCGGGTATGATGGCATTAATAATGTTAAATATATAATTTCGGAGCCATAGCGCTGTCGAAAGATTGCGTCAAGCCGCCGAATGCCTTCAAGATGAACTATATTTAACTCGTAACCGATCGCCCGGTCTCGGTGAAAGATTCAGATTTGATTTCTGTTATTTCCGCGTTCGTTAACATACTTATAAGCGAGATAAACGACATGTTAAGACATCTCTGGACGGCCGCCAACGCTTGGCCAATCGTATCTATACTTAATAATATAAAGGGAAAAGATTTGTTTGTTTGTATTGAATAGGCTCCGAAACTACTGAACCGATTTGAAAAATTCTTTCACTGTTTGGAAGCTACACTATTCTCGAGTGACATAGGATATAATCTTTTTTCATTAAAAATAGGCATCCTTACTAAAACTCCGATAATGGAACCCAAGGTGTAAAAAAATTACCTTTTTTTTATTTTTTTTATTGCCCTTGTAGGCAGATGAGTACAAAAAGTGTCGCGACAGCATATGTCTAACTGTTATAGTTATGCCGCAATAAGTGTTCTTTTATTTAAAAAAATAAAACGTCAAATATCGTTGAAGTTTTTGTTAAAGACCCGAGCGGAGCCGGAGCGGGCCGCGAGTGTGAATTAAACTAAATGATTCTATCGTCCATGGCGTTTTTAAAAATGCGAATTGTTTATTGTTTGTTCTTCTTCCCTACCTATTATAGTAACTTCTAGGGGCTATAATAGTATACCCGGGTTCAGTCTGGTGAATTTGCTAACACTGGTCTTAGCAAAAGCGGTGCTTCGCTGAATCTACCACCGGATCGCGAAACGCGACCCACTGAGGAGAACATTCGACGAGAAACGAAGTGGCCTGTGTCTTAGGGTTAAAGCGAATTGTAATAATTTTTTTGCCTAGACGAACTCACAGTCCACCTGGTGTTAAGTAGTTGCCGGAGCCCATAGACATCTACTTAACACCAGGTGGACCATGAGCTCGTCCACCCATCTAAGCAATAAATAAAAAGTTCGTAATGGTACTAAGTTTATTTTTTTTAAGCAAGTTTTGTTATGAGGTCCAGCCGTTCTCGAGCTTTCGTGAGACTAACGAACAGCAATTCATTTTTATTTATATTATAGATTTCAACAATTTGGTACTTTTGAATTTGTAACACTTGTCAGGAATATAACGGGCGTTTTGCTCAGTAGGACACGAACGCTTTTGTTCCTCTCAATCTGTGCCAATCACCCAGGGCTACCACGTTCATAATTGACATATATAGCCATGTAGATTTATTCACGAGATTCATGAAAATCACGAAACAGCTCTTCCTAAAGCGGTCCCACAATGATCGTTACGTCACGTCCCGTCACGTTTGACCCGGTTTCCTGGGTCGCTGGGTCGGGGTGCCCGGAATCGGGTCAAGGGCTGACCCCGTCGTTGTAACTGAACGGGACAAAAATGCGACGCCGATGCATGACCTATTCTGGATCTGTGTCGTTCAAGAAGATCGTGGTATATTTCCAGAACAAAGCCTTCGAAAAATATTGGTTTTGTTGTCTGTTAAGAGGGTTTGTTTTATTGCTATAAATGAAGAGATGAGGCCACCTGTGGCGGGTAGCCATCATACAACGCAAGATATTTGACAAATGCCTGAATCTCGCTTTCGACATTTTCAAGATAAGCTTGCATATATACAAGTTCCGAACAACAACATTCGGACCGTCGGTCTACCGAGCAATATCACTCGCTCGGTGGAAGATCTTCCTTTCGCTAAGCATCCCCAAACACCTCTAATTGCAACGTGGATTCTGCGAGCCAACTTGAGGTATTGATGGAATGCAGGATTGCTCGGCAACAGAAATGGTGGTATCCAGCCGTGTGGCCACCCCCACGACTAAATCCCGGTGTGCGATCGGTTTGTGTTGAGGAAAGAACTCTGCAGTCCATTCTCGGGAAATATCCTTAAGATGCAGTTCATTTTACGACATCCACGGAGTAAGATGGTAGTTATATTCTAGACTATAACGCAAGTACGCAAGTGGACAAGCTCACAGGCCACCTGGTATTAAAGGGTTACCGGAGGCTTGAGGTCTTTGAGGTCTCAATTAGTTATTATGCTAATTATATTTTTTGCAAGTTTGATTTTTATTACACGATGTTATTCCTTTATCGTGGAAGTCATATGTGAACATGAGTTCTTCATGAGGATTCTAACACTGGTAAAGTGGCATCGGTATTTACGGGAGTATATCTGTGTGCTTAGTGCGAGCTTTTTAACGTTCTCGATAGCGTAAAAGTTAACTCAAATTCGTATGGAGTTGGAACGTTTGCGTACGTTTGCCGCTAGGGGCGCTGTTTCAACTGCATACAAATTTGAGTTAACTTTTACGCTATCGAGAACGTAAAACTCGCGCTTTTTTATTGCTTAGATGGGTGGACGAGCTCACAGACCACCTGGTGTTGAGTGGTTACTGGAGCCCATAGACGTCTACGACGTAAATGCGCCACCCACCTTGAGATATAAGTTCTAAAGTCTCAAGTATAGTTACAACGGCTGCCCCACCCTTCAAACCGAAAAGCATTACTGCTTCACAGCAAAAATAGGCAGGGTGGTGGTACCTACCCGCGAGGACTCATAAGGGATCCTACCACCAGTAACTTAGCACATTAGCGTCTAATCTCTGTGATGGCTCCTTAATTACTAGCGTTTACTACTAAGTGGATCTTAATTGCAGGTAATTTTTTATTTATTTCAGATGCACAGTTGCGAGACTCTGCCAGCCCAGCCGGCGTCGGGACCGAACCTGCTTCTGCAGCTCGGACGTCTCATCATCAGAGCTAGAAGCACCAGCCCCGCCTCCCGCGCCCCCGCTGCCACCCGTGACCGTCTGCTACACGCTAAACTGCTCGCTGCGAAGCCTTCTACCTCTACACAGGTATGCTATCCTGGTACGTTTGGAACCTCTGGGTCTGCGGAGGGACTTCGGTTCCCTCTGTAATTTCTACCGTATGTTCCATGGGGAGTGCTCTGAGGAATTGTTCGAGATGATAGCGGCATCTCGTTTTTACCATCGCACCGCCCGCCACCGGAGTAGAGTTCATCCATACTACCTGGAGCCACTGCGGTCATCCACAGTGTGTTTCCAGAGGTCTTTTTTGCCACGTACCATCCGGCTATGGAATGAGCTCCCCTCCGCGGTGTTTCCCGAGCGCTATGACATGTTCTTCTTCAACCGAGGCTTGTGGAGAGTATTAAGCGGTAGACAAGCGGCTTGGCTCTGCCCCTGGCATTGCTGAAGTCCATGGGCGACGGTGACCACTCACCCATCAGGTGGGCCGTATGCTCGTCTGCCTACAAGGGCAATAAAATAAAAAAAACCGCTCTCTGACGGTAAATGATCAGCGTCGGGCACGGCCAAGCTTTAATGCTCCCCCACAAGCCTCGTTTGAAGAAGGACATGTAAAAACACCATGGAGCTCATTCCAAAGCCGGATGGTACGTGGCAAAAAAGATCTCTGGAAACGCACTGTGGATGACCGCAGTGACTCCCAGGTAGTATGGATGGTCTTTACTCCGGTGGCGGGCGGTGCGATGGTAAAAATGAGATGATGGTATCATCTGAAACAATTCCTCAGAGCTCACAACGCAACATAAGCTACTCCTAACTTTCTATTTTGCTATCATCTTTGCTCTTAGCGATAAGACCGCCAATTGTACTTTTTTTATTTAATGTATCGCATTGTTTATTTGTTTTTTTTGTGTACTATAAAGAATACTCTCTCTCTCTCTCTCTATCTCTCTTTCGTTCTCATCTAAAAGAAACCCTATCCACACTATACTTTTTTTCTTATTCAATGAATGAACAACCTCTTTCCAAAATCTGATCATAGTTATAATTGAATGCCAAATATCTTTCATAAAGACTCCACTACGAAGATCAGACCGAAGATATCCAAAAGTATGTATTTCTCTAATTGAAAATAATTTCCTTCTTTGTTTTGGCAATTTGATCTTCTACAGGGATATGTGCTCCTGGTAATTTTTTTATTTTTTTTTATTGCTTAGATTGGTGGACGAGATCACAGCCCACCTGGTGTTAAGGAGTCTGGAGTACTGGAGCCCATAGACATCCACAACGTAAATGCGCCACCCACCTTGAGATATAAGTTCTAAGGTCTCAGTATAGTTACAACGGCTGCCCCACCCTTCAAACCGAAACGCATTAATGCTTCACGGCAGAAATTGGCAGGGCAGTGGTACCCAACCGCGCGGACTCACAAGAGGTCCTACCACCAGTAATCAGTGAATGATCTTTAGTGGCCCGTCTCGATTTTCCCTCAACATGCATAATTTCCTTCTTCGTTTTGGCAATTTTGACCTTCTACAGGGATATGTGCTCCTGGTAATTTTTTGAATGATCTTTAGTGGCCCGTCTCCCATTTTCCCTCAACATGCATAATTTCCTTCTTTGTTTTGGCAATTTTGACCTTCTACAGGGATATGTGCTCCTGGTAATTTTTTTGAATGATCTTTAGTGGCCCGTCTCCCATTTTCCCTCAACATGCATAATTTCCTTCTTTGTTTTGGCAATTTTGACCTTCTACAGGGATATGTGCTCCTGGTAATTTTTTTGAATGATCTTTAGTGGCCCGTCTCCCATTTTCCCTCAACATGCATAATTTCCTTCTTTGTTTTGGCAATTTTGACCTTCTACAGGGATATGTGCTCCTGGTAATTTTTTTGAATGATCTTTAGTGGCCCGTCTCCCATTTTCCCTCAACATGCATAATTTCCTTCTTCGTTTTGGCAATTTTGACCTTCTACAGGGATATGAGCTCCTGGTAGTTTTTTTGAATGATCTTTAGTGGCCCGTCTCAATTTTCCCTCAACATGCATGCATAATTAATTTCCTTCTTTGTTTTGGCAATTTTGACCTTCTACAGGGATATGTCCTCCTGGTAATTTTTTTGAATGATCTTTAGTGGCCCGTCTCCCATTTTCCCTCAACATGTATAATTTCCTTTTTTGTTTTGGCAATTTTGACCTTCTACAGGGATATGCGCTCCTGGTAATTTTTTGAATGATCTTTAGTGGCCCGCTTCGATTTTCCCGCAACATGCTCGAAATATCGCGACCGCGTGCCTATATTTAGAAGCTCCACATCGACATGCGTTCCTGTTACCCGACCACTGATCAGTATGCTGACTTAAAATCTACATGAAAGTACTTCATGAAATTGTTTAAAACCCATAGGTGTAGTTTCGCAACGTAACCGACGCGACCAAAATAAATTTTTGCGCACAGTGCTAACACGACTCTTATGCAAAAAAGTACATTGTGTATGGCACCTTAAGTATATAGCTATAAGCTACCTGATGCCTTAAAAAAAAGACAAATTATTTTTATTTAAAAAGAACTTGAAAAAATTATTAACCTTAAGATATTATTATAATACAGTTAACGATTTTTTAAATGATAATACATTATGTTATTTTTAAATTAGCTTCTTTCTGTTCTTTGTTTTAGTTTAATGATATAAATAACTAATTCTTATTCAATTAATACATTTTGTTGTTTGTTATTTTAATTAATTAACATATTTACTGACTGCATTTAATGTGAATCATTTTGAATAATATTTGCACGCCGACCTGGCAGAAACACGCTGTTTTATAAAATAACTTTGTAAACAGTGTTTTAGCTACTGGTTTTAGTCACTGGTGGTAGGACCTCTTGTGAGTCCGCACGGGTAGGTACCACAGCCCTGCCTATTTCCGCCGTGAAGCAGTAATGCGTTTCGGTTTGAAGGGTGGGGCAGCCGTTGTAACTATACTGAGACCTTAGAACTTATATCTCAAGGTGGGTGGCGCATAGATGTCTATGGGCTCCAGTAACCACTTAACACCAGGTGGGCTGAGAGCTCGTCCACCCATCTAAGCAATAAAAAAAAAGCTAATAAAGTTTGATTACATTTGATTTGAAATATTCTGCTCCCTTGATTATGAACCTAAAAGATTATAATTTTCTTTGTAACTAGCTTTTGCCCGCGACTTCGTTCACGTGGAATAGTTACTTTGTCGTAACGCTAAATTTTACCCGCCTCTTCATTTATTACGTAGAAAGTGAACATATTTTTGAATAATAGAATGTTAAAGAGCTATACTGAGATCTTAGAAAGAATATCTCGAGGTGGGTGGCGCATTTACGTTGTAGATGTCTATGGGCTCCAGTAAAACTTAACATCAGGTGGCCTGTGACCTCGCCCACCCATCTAAGCAAAAAAAAATTAAAAAAAAAATCTCACTCTTCTGCAAACACATTGCAGGTACAAACACAGCCGAAACCAGAGACAGACAAGCCCAAAAGGAATGTAGAGGCCCAGCTCAGTAGTCACGTCCACGCCCTATGGAACGAACAGATACCGGTTTGCATCGAGGTGAGGATCTCACAGAACACTCTCTTTCCACCCCGATAGCTGACCAAACCCGTAAAATTAGCTTCATACGTGCGGATTAAGTTCAGTAGTAAGCAATTTGGGAGGCAGATGCTGTTGAATGATCATCAGATACGTCAGGATAATTCATAATATTTCGTCAGAGTCAGAGTGAGGGGTTTCATGGTAACTAATTATGTTTATCATGTTTAACTAATAATAAACCTGGTCTGGTCCTCATTCCTCGCCGCCAATCTACTATTACGGCAAGAATGAAGAAAGAGAAGAAATCGTGTAAAAAGTCTTGTTTTTTTATTGCATAGATGGGTGGACGACGACAGCAAATCTGGTGTTAAGTGGTTACTGGAACCCATAGACATCTACAACGTAAATGCGCCACCCACCAAATATAGTTACAACGGCTGCCTCACCCTTCAAACCGAAACGCATTACTGCTTCACGGCAGTAATAGGCAGGGCGGTGGTACCTACCCGTGCAAACTCATAAAAGGTCCTACCACCAGTAATTACACAAATTATAATTTTACGGGTTTGATTTTTTTACACGATGCTATTCCTTCGCCGTGGAAGTCAATCGTGAACATTTGTTAAGTACGTATTTCATTTAAAAAATTGGTACCCGCCTGCGGGATTCGAACAACGGTGCATCGCTACATACGAATGCACCGGACGTCTTATCCTTTAGGCCACGACGACTTCTAACTTCTTCTGTACCGACAGTTTTCATTGTCAGCAATCATGAGCACAGATGTTGACATTCATCAACTCCTGGCTTCTATATTCCAGGTACTCCTGGCTCCAGACTGCCGGGAATGCTTCATGTCACTAAGTCGAGATGACGAAGAAGCCTCGTACAATAAGCTGCACTCACAGCCCAGGGGCTTACTGCTCGAAAGGTGGACAATGCAAGCGCTTATCAACAAGTAAATATCGAACAATTTGTCGGTTCTGTAGCCAATCAGAGGTCAGTTTGAGCAGTGGATGTGTGATGTGATGGAAGGGTTGTCAAAGTAGCCTGTTCTCTAGGTGAGGTGCTTCAACATAATTTGATGGTTGTCCATCATCCATAGATTTACTGGTGGTAGGACTTCATGTGAGTCCGCACGGGTAGGTATCACCACCCCGCCTATTTCTGCCGTGAAGCAATAATGCGTTTCGACTTGAAGGACGGGGCAGCCGTTGTAACTATACTGAGACCTTAAACTTATATCTCAAGGTGGGTGGCGCATTTGCGTTGTAAATGTCTATGGGCTCCAGTAACCACTTAACACCAGGTGGGCTGTGAGCTCGTCCATCTATCTAAGCAATAAAAAAATACTGAATCGTTGTCTTTGCGTCCTGCGAATACTGTGAATACATCTCTACGTTAGAAGACAACACTGATACGTGTTAAAAGCTTCACGTAGTAATTGCCCTATCTGATCCCATAGACAACAAATCATTTGGGGCATAGAATCAATTAGTGTCAATTGTATTGATGTATCAATGTATATGACCCATGAACATCCGTTACCATCGGGTTGGCTATATGCTCTTCCGCATACGAAGGCGATAAAAAACTTTAGAAAGACTAAAGATTTATTAATGGCGAGTCGATGAAGTCATGACTCTTGATGTGAATAGTTTTCTTCGTAACCGGAAGTTTTTAAGGGATTCTTTCTCTTTACAGAAATCACGAGTCTCCAACTTTCACGACGTCGCAGTGGCTGCTCAACGCGATCCGATCACAGCTGCACTTCTCCCAGCTCGGGGCGTGGTTGGCCCGGCTCAAGGAGACGGGTGCCGATGATAATCCCACGGAACGAAGGTAGGATTTCGCAGGACACGCCAGTGGAGTAAATTCCCTGAAGCAGTCACATTAAATCAGCGGTCGGGGAACTTTTTTAATTATTACCCCAAAATATTTTTGTGTAAGTTGAGATTACGCCATGGCGAATAACAAAAAAAAAAAAAACTAAATCACTTCTTTTTAGCATCTTTCATAATATTATAGCCCCCATGATAATTTGAAATCACAACGATTCTAAAGAAGTTTCACTTCAATATGTACTTTTTACTCACAAAAGTTTAATTTTTACCCCCCAAAATTTCATTTTACCCCTATTTGGTGTAATTTACCCCGGTTCCCCGACCGCTGCACTAAATCATCGAATCTTAGTAAAATAATTGTGACCAGTACGAATTAATTGTCAATAGGAGAAAGCTCAGCCGCGAAAAGTGCAATTACAAAAAGCTCGAATCGAACTGCGACGTGGAGGACCTCCCCGACGAACAGCAGAGGAAACTGAACGTCGTCTACTCCGTTAAAATACCTGGCGAGAATTACAACACGACCGAGTTCTCTAAGCCCCCTACAGACCACCACTTCCCCGTGACCGACATCGGTAACAACGTCTACTTGAAAGTAGTACTCGAGAGCCTCCCCAGGATCGAAGATATACCAAACGTCAAGTGTACCTGCCAAAAACGACAGCTCAACATAGAAATCCCCCAGAATCTGAACGAAGATTTGGTCGGGAAACTGAATGATCTCAGCTTAGGCTCGAAATGCGATGCAGCCAACGTCAAGAGACCGACCGCTTCGCACCAGAGCCAAAACGAATACGTATTTATAAAAAAGGATGTCTTAGATGATAGAATGCTGACTCCGTGCAGCGAAAATGGAAAACACAAGTGCAGTTGTGATGATGAACTAGACGAGAAAGAGAAGACCAAGAGATTAGACGAGAGGAGACTGAAGGAGATAGCCAAATGCAAAAGGCGGTTGAGGAAAGAGAGCAGAATCAAGAAACAAGACGAGGAGAAGAACAGAGAGACCACGTCGATACCGATACTACAGGCCGCCAGATTCGACAGGTTCAGAGCCATAGGATGCTACAGGAACCAGACGTACCTGACCTTGCCAGCCAGCAGGATTGAGACGAGATCTCCCTTCGCGGAGACCGATTGCGTGCAGATCGAAGTCAAAAAGACCAGTACGGTCTCCACGCAGACCGACGAGCCCTTCTGCCAGTGCGGCACGATGGTGAGCCTGAAATGCGAGGGTTGCCGTCTCGTGCGCTCAGAAGGGACCTACAACCTGGCCGTCTACCAAGACGAGAACAGCAAGAAGCACAAATGTGATGTTAATTGTGATAGTATAATTAGAAGACCGAAGCTGCGGAGGCTGCTGCCGGTCACGGACAGGATCGAGGAGGTGATAACGGACAGGCAGCGGAAGGACATCGCGGAATTGAACCTGAACNAATGCGAGGGTTGCCGTCTCGTGCGCTCAGAAGGGACCTACAACCTGGCCGTCTACCAAGACGAGAACAGCAAGAAGCACAAATGTGATGTTAATTGTGATAGTATAATTAGAAGACCGAAGCTGCGGAGGCTGCTGCCGGTCACGGACAGGATCGAGGAGGTGATAACGGACAGGCAGCGGAAGGACATCGCGGAATTGAACCTGAACAAGGACGATACGGTGTTCTGTAGCCCGCGGGACAAGAGGCAGAAGACGTATTCGGTCAGCGACGATGGGTTCGTTCTTTACGAGAGGTGTGAGTACGGGACCATCGACAGGTGCGAGGGGGAGGCGGGGGCGGAGGGGGTGGCAGGGGGCTCCCCCGTCCCGAGCCCGTCGGACGTCGACAAGTTCAAGTGGCGCCTGGACTCGGCCGCGTCTATGGTGTTCCACACGAAGACCGGCCTGCCGCTCACCTCCAGTCCGGCGCCGCTCAGAAGGGGAACCAACTGCTTCGACTTCGACGACACGATCAATGGTGTTTCCGGAATTAAAAGGTATGTTCCTGGGATTCGTAGGGGGTCAATGACGGTAGCCATTCTGGCCATGTCTGCCCAGAAGCCTGGTATTTTTTTGATTGCTTAGACGAAAGAACGAGCTTACAGCCCACCTGGTGTTAAGCGGTTACTGGAGCCCATAAACATCTACAACGTAAATGCCGCCATCCGCCTTGAGATATAAGTTCTAACGACTCAAGTATAGTTACAAAGGCTGCCCCACACTTCAAACCGAAACGCATTACTGCTTCACGTCAGAAATAGGCAGGGTGGTGTTACCTACCCGCGCGGACTCATAAAAGGTCCTACCACCAGTGATTACGCAAATTATAATTTCGTGTGATTTTTATTACACGATGTTATTCCTTCACCGTGAAAAGTCAATCGTGAACATTTGTTGAGTACGTATTTCATTAGAAAAATTGGTACCCGCCTGCGGGATTCGAACACCGGTGCATCGCTCAACACGAATGCACCGGACGTCTTATCTTTTAGGCCACGATGACTTCCAAATCGTATTATTTTGTATCAAAACTGTTATTATTAATTCGTCGCGCGTGTGTGTTCCAGTGCTCTGTTCCACCGCATCGCGCCGCGCTCGCCGACCCCCCCGGGCACCGCATCCCCCCCGCCCCGTCCACTCCCCCCCACTCCCCCCGCCCGGGCCCCGGGCGCGGCCCCGGCCAAGCTCAGGATCGGACCCAGCCGGGGACTCTTGGGTGAGTTAAGCACAAGACTTTGAAAATTAAGTTCCGTTTACACGCTGCGTCTTGTATGCGCTGATCGTGGAAAGCTTTAGTGTTTGTCGTGGGTAGCCATCATAGAACACAAGTTATTTGATAGATGCATGAATCTCGTTAATGACATATACGAGATAAGCATACACGTAAAGAAAAACCTTTAGTATTTAAAACTATTTAGTTTCAAAAAAATATTCGAAAGACTATTCATTGACTTCTGTCTTTCAGTGAAGAAAGTAGTTGAGTTTTGCATAATTTAATAATACTGCTTAAAGTGTTAATTTAAAAAGAAGATTAAAGTTATGTTAGCATAGCCTCTCAAGACTACCAGCTTAGGTAGGAAAAAAAATGACAATTTTCATGGAAAAATTGCCCAGGTTACAAGTGAATTGGAGCAACAAATATTAAAAAAAAGGGTCTATTTTTTTATTGCTTAGATACCAAATTTTATATCTCAAGGTGGGTGGCGCATTTACGTTGTAGATGTCTATGGGCTCCAGTGACCGCTTAACACCAGGTGGGCTGTGAGCTCGTCCACCGATCTAAGCAACAAAAAAAAAGTACTTATAAGGACAACCCGTTCTATAATTTTCCATTGCATCTTAAAACGAGCCGTCAAGAAGGTACGTGTAGACAGAGCATTAACCAACTCTCGCAGGTTTATTGGTTGGTCCCTATAACACATGAGCGTCTATGTACTACATACTATGTAGTATAGTTGAACCAGATTTTTGGTCTTGAATTGAAAGTCTTATCCACTAACAGATTCGTGTCTTATTCCAATCCTAATAATTGATTGATACGGGTTGGCGTAGCCCATTTATATCACAGAGCAGCCAAATCTAAATCCATTGTAAGCTCCAGGGTTCTGAAACTAAGTGTTCCTATAAGCCAAGCCGTCAGCGTGATCCACGTTACATGTCTTTAAACGTATCCGTGGTAATCGCCAGGCAGCTTCGAGGAGTCGGCTCTGAAGGGTCGACTGGAGCCAGTCGCGACCGTCCAGGGTTTCACCGCCGAGCTGGGCGCGTCCGGGTCGTGGTGTCCGCCGCACCGGAGGCTGCCCGTCACCGTGTTCTTCTACGCGCCTGGAGGAACCAACGCTCCTTATATGGTGAGCTCAGTCCTCATGCTACCGGTCATCAGGTTTGAGCCCCGTGAGCTCACCTACTAGTTAAGGCGACGCTGATATAGCCTCTCAAGGCTATCAGCTTAGGTAGGAAAAAAAAAACATGACACCTCATGTAGGTCCAGAATTGTAGTAAGACGCTCGGAATTTGTATCGAGCGATGGGACTGTTTCGAGATTCTAATACCACAGACAGGCATCAGTTTATCTAATCGAATGAATGCGTACTTGATATTTCACGAATAACTCATGGAGGAATAATATTAAGAAGCTGAGAAATGCCTGAAGTCGTCGTGGCCTAAGGGATAAGACGTCCGGTGCATTCGTGTTGAGCGATGCACCGGTGTAATATTTTCTAAAAATCAATAAAAATTAAGAAAGCTTTTGTGCACCATTTGGCGCCCCTTTGTGATTAGCGCCCGGCGCACGATGCCCTCCCTTGCCGCCCCCCCTCAATATGCCACTGCGACCTGGCCGAATAAAATGAGTCAACATCGTCCCAGCTCTTGTCCAGTCGAGATTTTCTCTTCATCTCTCAAGTCACTGTCGATCACAGCAGAGCGGGCCATTCCCGATCCTGCGGACAGAATGGAAAGCAGTCGACGTCGCCCAAAACACGTCATTTCTGATCCTCTGGATACACTAACAGTGCTTTTAGGTACCTCAAGCACCGGTCATCTTTCTCATCGAACCCGTCGCCTGCTACGAAGGGCTCGACGAGTGAATTAACCCATAGACACAACCCACTGAGTTTCTCGCCGGATCTTCTCAGTGGGTCGGGTTTCCGATCAGGCGGTAGATTCTGCGAAGCACGGCTCTTGCTAGGATTCGTGTTAGCAACGTCGTCAGGTTTGAGCCCCGTGAGCTCACCTACTAGTCAAGGTTACGCTGAAATAGCCTCTCAAGGCTATCAGCTTAGGTAGGAAAAAAAAGCAGGGTGACGTATGTAAGCAGATGTACACACAACATTTAATTTATTCTTCAGGGTCACATTAACCTAGGTCCAAGCGGCTACCGCATACCTCACTCGGGGACCATCCAGGTCTCCCTGTTTAACCCTCACGGGACCCTCGTGAAGATGTTCGTCGTGCTATACGAGCTGAGCGGGATGCCCCCTTCAGCGAGGACCTTCCTCCGGCAGAGGACACTGTACATGCCCGCCGGGGCGGAGCCCCCGCGCACCAGCATGCTCTACAAGTGGCTCCGGTATCTCATACATCTCAGGTGAGGGGACGCCAAACCAAATTGAGTTCCGTTCCAAAATCTGATTATGTATTCCTTTGAATGATGTATTTAAATATACAAGCAAACGGAACTAAAAGTCCGGATGACCTTCGTCAAGAGATGTCAAAGTAATTAATGTATTATCATCGGTGCTTGACCCTTGTGCACATTTTCAAGTCAATCACACGTCTTCAAGTTGATGAATATCATGTTAAGACATTCCGTTACATAGATATATAGATATAGGTAGATAGATAGAGCGGGTTTCAAAAAGTATAGAAAATATTTTCGTCACATATTATATTATTTAATTAAGGGTGTGTGACATAGATAGCGATAAAATATGAGTATCCTATGTAGTACTAGCCTTCTAAGTTCCTAGTCATCCTCTTTTCTAATTTCCGCGTCCAATAACAGTATATGACACGGTCGATTCATTCTTGTCCGCTCTTAAGACCAGACGTTAGTAAGATCTCTTTCGTTCGCAGGTTCATGACCTCAAAATCCGGAAAGCTGTATCTGCACACGGACATCCGGATACTCGTGTCAAGGAAGGCGGACGTTGACACGGCGACTGTACATTCCATCTTCAGACCGATCTCGAACTCGAATAGATCTCAGACGTCCAGCCGGAGCGCCGGACCGGTGCGCGGGGAGCCGGACCGGGGCCCGAACCGTGTTTTCGGCGGTTGTGGGGACCCCGGGGGGGCCCGGTCCGGCGCGGACCCCGGGGGGGCGCGTAGGGGGGCGCGAGAGCTCGGCTACGAGAACCACAATGGGGTCGCGTTCGAACTACGCAGTTTCACGTACGCCCCTGACAACCCCAGATACTCTCCTCGCTGACGTCACGCGCCACGGTCCCCTCTCCCCTATAAGCGGATGCTGCGCTTGCGGCGTAGACTTGTATGATTAAAGATAAATATATTTTTTGGTTTTTTTATATATAAACAAAATGCGAGTTGTCTGATTTCGTTTTATTTGAATAAAAAAGTTGCTTAGATGTGCCTTAAGTAGCTACCGGAGCCCATAGGCATGAAAAATGTGAATGCCTCATGAGTTCTAAATCTCAGCTTTATATAACGGCTGTCCTACCCTTCCAAACCGAAATACATTGCTTCTCGGTAGTAAGCAGGATCGTGGTATCTACCCCTGCTGACTCATAAGTTTCTCTGACACTATAGAATTATTTTGTCCGTGCAGTTTGGGTCATAAAAAATTGGAGCGGTGCAGCGAGTATTTCGCTCTCTCTTCCACTCACGAGCCTTATGGACGGGCATAGTGATGCGCGTTATTGTTGTCGATAAGCGTTATCGATAGTGTATTTAGTTTTGTCATTTTGTGGGTTAGTGATAAAAATGAAAGAAAAAATCACTAATCGAACACTTACACCACATATTGCCACAGCAAGTTAACGAGAACGGCAGAAATTAACACTTTGTAACTTTTCGGGATCTATTCTTATTTCAGTGAAATTTTTTAACACATTGTTGATAGCAACACGTGCAAATATTATTTTGAATAAATTCTGCCGTTTTGATACAAAACAAAGGAGTAGCCATTGTGTCGCTAAAGAAATTCAGAGAACGAATGCATAGAAACACATTTCTCTTCGACATAATGTACTATAATTTGCAGGTAAGTACAAATTACTCATAACATAACAATGTCTCACCACCCTTCGTATACCACCCCGCCGCCGTGTACCTGCCTTCGATGACTCATTTCTTTTTATCGATAATGGCATTGCACCCGCGCAACATGCTCACCGCCCTAGCCGGGCTGTGTTTTATGACCCAAACTGCACGGACAAAATAATTCTACTATAATAAATAAATACTTGCAGCAGAGCACTTTTTAACACAGGGTTCTACAGGCCAATTACTATCTTTGCATCATTTAGGGTTCCAAAAAAAATGGTGACAAAGTTTCTCTTCTGATATCGGTCTCAAATAAAAAATATTATTGATTCGATGGTGTAGTAATTAGCGCCCCGGACTGTTACGCCGAGGGTCGTGGGTTCGATTCCCACATCCGGCAAACATTCGTATGAATGAGCAGGCTTGTTTGCTCTATATCTGAGTGCTTATTATCTATATATCTATAAATATGTAACCTCTATACGATTTATCTTAAAAGAGGTTAATATGTTACAAAGATGACATAAATGTAATTCGAATATTGAAACTAGAAATATTAAAACATATTTAAAGATTGAAATATAATAAAAAAAAAAAGTGGTGAAGCAATAGTTTTAAATGTTGTTTCTCTTTATAGAGCACCTCAATTTGTGCTATAGTTTTACTAAACTAAAGTGTATTTTGATGTAAATAAAATAATACATTATAAAATAACATATATAACTATATCAGTCTCTGGTGGCCATAACACAGGGAATCCTAATTTTGGACCGGATTACCGTGGGTGCCTTGTGAAAAAAAAACAACCAATTTGTCTATTCTTGAGAATTTTGTATCAAGCTAACTGTTTCTTGTTTCATTCATTTAGGTTTATCCTTTATATATATGTATATATATATTTTCCTACTTAAGCTCATACCTGATACCTAAGCTGATTTACTGGTGGTAGGACCTCTTGTGAGTCCGCGCGGGTAGGTACCACCGCCCTGCCTATTTCTGCCGTGAAGCAGTAATGCGTTTCGGCTTGAAGGGTGGGGCAGCCGTTGTAACTATACTGGGACCTTAGAACTTATATCTCACGGTGGGTGGCGCATTTACGTTGTAGATGTCTATGGGCTCCCATGAGAACGCGACCCACTGAGAAGATCCAGCGAGGAACTCAGTGGGCTGTGACTGTGGGTTAATTCGCTCATCGAGCCCTTCGTCGCAAGCGACGCGACGGGTTCGACGAGGACGGTGACCGGGTTCCTGTATATTGGATGTATGTAGTACCTATATGGATTATTGGGAACTGTCTGGGTCCTAAAGGAGAGGGTCGTATCGGATGATGTCACTCTGCATGTGTCATGGCATTCGGTACCCACTTGACTAGACACACGTCTGGATAGAACAATAAATAAGTGGTATCGTTCGTGAATTCGCCTGAGGCAAAAACAAAAATTAGGTTAATGCCCCGATTATAAATAATAAAATAAAACTTAATCGAAATAATTTATTGAATAAATAAGTTAACAAACGGATACGCAGTCATACAATAAATAACACACAAACTATGGCCGCCATTGACCGAGCGTTTCCCAACGAGTATTATAATCTATTTTTGGTTCTTAGTCAAATTTATAAATAAGATTGGACCTACTATTGAACATTTCCTTACTTTACGTGTTAGCTAGCGAACTCACACGGCTCAATGTCACGGGGAATCAATGTTCACATAAAAACCGCGTCAACAAACACGTCTTCATTATGAATAACTTGTTGAAAAACAACAAAAAAAAACGCGAATTATACCTATCTATAAGAGCTATCGAAATTTTACTTAAAAACATTTCAAGAACCGATTAACTAAAAGATCGATTGAGCAAAAAACACCAAACGTTTATATTCACGAATCAATACCTATTAAAAAACTGGTTACTAATTAATTTATTATCAATGAATAACGTAACTTTCTGGCTAAGCGTCAGTGTCAAAAGCAAATCAGCTTAATTTTAATTACAGAGCCATCTAGCGGTTCTATTGGATTTTTTTTACAAACAACTCTCGCCTCGATTTTGTATTCTTTGTACCGTGCAGCGCCATCTATCGGACGATAACCTAAGCACACTTTATCCTTATATTTTTTTAACTAAGATCTAGATTACAATTTCGGAAATAATGAACTAAATGCGCTCTTCTCCTGTGCTCTATATGGACTGTTGTTGTTGTCCACGTCGATTTCCACGTCGGACTCCTGTAACCAGAACGTTTTACTTATTCATTTAAATCGTTGCTCTGAGACAAAATATAATATATTATACTAGCTGAGCCGGCGGACTTCGTAGTGCCTCAATCGATAAATAAAAAACCTAAACTTTTGTATAAAAATTTTTTAAAACAAATGGATCCGTTTGACAAGGGACGCATCAAAGGAAAAACAAAATTGTTATGTTTGTTTAACTCCGAGCATTTTCATATTTATCTACATTTTTAAACCTTCTCTGGACTTACAGAAATAATTCAAGACCAAAATTAGCCAAATCGGTCCAGCCGAGTTCTCGAGTTTTAGCGAGACTAACGAACAGCAATTCATTTTTATATATATATAGAAGAAGAAGATCCTCCTCCTATATATTATATTACATCAAGCTATACAAAGAGACCCTCGTACCTCCGGGTAAGTCCTAGACCAGGGTCCCCAGCCATGCTCGTGCTCATCTTCGTGCTCATAATGGTGCTGATGCTGTGCATGCTCATAGTAGATCACCTGCGGATTAAAGAAAATTGCAATGTTCAATTACCGACGCCGTTATGTATGTGAGCACAATAAGCGCAAATAGGACACATTGGAACTAAGCTTGTGGTTTGGTGGCGGGTAGCCATCACACAACACAATATATTTGACAGATGCCTGAATCTCGCTTACGACATGTTGAAGATAGCATTCCCGATCCTCTAGACCGAATGGTAAACAGTCGACGTCGCCCAAAACACGTCATTACGGATCCTCCCGATCCATTAACAGTGCTTTTAGGTACCCCAAGCACCGGTCACCGTTCTTGTCGAACCTGTCGCTTGCGATGAAGGACTCGACGAGTGAATTAACCCATAGACACAGCCCACTGAGTTTCTCGCCGGATCTTATCAGTGGGTCGCGTTTCCGATCCGGATGTAGATTCTGCGAAGCACTGCTCTTGCTAGGGCCAGTGTTAGCAACACTCCGGTTTGAGCGCCGTGAGCTCACCTACACGTCAAAGAGAAGCTGATATAGCCTCCCAAGGTTATCAGTATAGGTAGGAAAAAAATACATTCGGACCGTCGAGCTACCGAGCAATATCACCCGCTCGGTGGAAGATAGACCCTTCGTCGTAAACCCTACAGTTTAATTCGAAGTTCCAGTTTTCTTGGTCACGATCATTCCTTGCACTGATCCGTGTGGAGCGACCTTTTTTATGATCGAACAATTACTGGTGTCCCGGAGGCCTTTCCAATTTAACCAGGACTGAGCGAGCAAAGGCTCAACCAGGAGGGGTGGGATTTACTAACAGCTGCCCGAGCACCTCCAAAGGAGACCTAGCAACTCAAGAGCAACTGCTTTGCGAATGAATCTACTACCGGATCGGAATCGCGACCCGCTGAGAAGATCCGCCGAGAAACTCAGCGGGCTGATGCATGGGTTAGGCTATACGAGTATGGTTACTGGAGTCCCTAAGCCTGCTTCTAGCGTTAAAGCGTGATGTGGGGTGGCTCTGCGCGTGGTTTTAGAACTTACTTTTTGCGGCTGCTGATTGTGTTTGTTCTTAATGTCGATCCAAAGCCTCGCGAGGTTGATGGCCAGACCTATCAGGGCGATTATGAAGAATTTCACCTGAAAATTTAATATATATTAGCGTCTTATAACGTTAGTCAAGAGGCACTAAAACGACACCCGGGATGAGCATTCTGCGTAGTGCTGTTACGGGGTGGGTCCAGGAGCTCTTTTTAAAAAAAGGAAACAGTGACTGGCACTGAGTTTATTTTATTAAAGAAATAGTACAAATGATATGTGTTTCCTGTGTGTGTGTGTGTGTGCTACTCAAGCCAAATCTGTTCTGCCGCGCTTTAGTAATAAATCGTCTTTATATAGAAACAATGCATTCAAGAATGCCTTAGTCTGCATTATTATTTATATTACGTTATTATTGAGGGGCATATGTAACAGTGTCCCTCAACTAACAGGAATGATATCTGTACTGATTTGCTGCTGGTAGGACCTCTTGTGAGTCCGCGCGGGTGGGTACCACCGCCCTGCCTATTTCTGCCGTGAAGCAGTAATGCGTTTCGGTTTGAAGGGTGGGGCAGAAGGATCACACCCTCTCCCGTCCGCAGCGCTCATACTCATGATACTTCTTCGTTGATCCCTCATAACTGATCGCGATCACATGTATGTAAGACTTTTCACGAAAGTCGGTCCGCTGCGAGGGAGACCGTCTGTTGGATGCTGTCTCCAAGTACTCATGATACACGAGTCCCGAAATATTGATTTAGTAAAATTACAGCGATTTGCACTATGTGAACACTAGGAACAAACATAGGCTTGCGTTGCCGGCGGCTCGAATTAAGAAAATAAGCAACTCTTTTAGGGGGCTGGGTGTACAGCTTTTCAACAAGATCCCACTAAACGTTCAACTACTACCTGTTCATAGATTTAAGAAAACTGTTAAGGAACGTTTGTGCAACAAGGCATATTATAAAGTTAAGGATTATTTACNTGTTTAAAATCACTCAAATAATTTCCTTTTATAGATGTAATTCCCGGCACTCGATGTCATATATACACTGTATTTGTATCACTACACAGCAAATTAACTATAATATGTGCATAATTGATGAGCTCAGACACTTTAGGAACAGAATTTGAATTAATATTTGGAGCTACATTAAAACACAACTGTACTTTATCGCGGTAATGCGGGTAAAATAAATTTAAAACAAACAAATGGATCCGTCTGACAAGGGACGCATCAAAGGAAAAACAAAATTTATTATTTTTATTTAATTCCGAGCATTTTCATATTTATCTACCTTTTAAAGCTTCTCTGGACTTACAGAAATAATTCAAGACCAAAATTAGCCAAATCGGTCCAGCCGAGTTCTCGAGTTTTAGCGAGACTAACGAACAGCAATTCATTTTTATATATATAGAAGAAGAAGATCCTCCTCCTATATATTATATTACATCAAGCTATACAAAGAGACCCTCGTACCTCCGGGTAAGTTCTAGACCAGGGTCCCCAGCCGTGCTCGTGCTCATCTTCGTGCTCATAATGGTGCTGGTGCTGGGCGTGTTCATAGTAGATCACCTGCGGATTAAAGAAAATTGCAATGTTCAATTACCGACGCCGTGCTGTATGTGACCACAATAAGCCCAATAGGACACATTGGAACTAAGCTTGTGGTTTGGTGGCGGGTAGCCATCATACAACACAAGATATTTGACAGATGCCTGAATCTCCCTTACGACATGTTGAAGATAACCTACGATCCTGTAGAGCGAATGGTAAACAGTCGACGTCGCCCTAAACACGTCATTACGGATCCTCCCGATCCATTAACGGCGCTTTTAGGTACCCCAAGCACCGGTCACCGTTCTTGTCGAACCTGTCGCTTGCGATGAAGGACTCGACGAGTGAATTAACCCACAGACACAGCCCACTGAGTTTCTCGCCGGATCTTCTCAGTGGGTCGCGTTTCCGATCCGGTGGTAGATTCTGCGAAGCACTGCTTTTGCTAGGGCCAGTGTTAGCAACACCCCGGTTTGAGCGCCGTGAGCTCACCTACACGTCAAGGAGAAGCTGATATAGCCTCTCAAGGCTATCAGCATAGGTACGAAAATAAAAAACATTGGGACCGTTGGTCTACCGAGCAATATCACCCGCTCAGTGGAAGATAGACCCTTCGTCGTAAACCCTAAAGTTTGATTCAAAATTCCAGTTTTCTTGATCACGGTGATTCCTTGCACTGATCCACGTGGAGCGACCTTTTTTATGATCGAAGAATTACTGGTGTCCCGGAGGCCTTTCCAGTTTCACCAGGACTGAGCAAGCACAGGCCCAGTCAGGAGGGGTGGGATTTGCTAACAGCTACCCGAGTGCCTCCAAAAGACGAAGATCCGGCAAGAAACTCAGTGGTCTGATGCATGGGTTAAGCCAAGGGTCGGCAACCTGTTTGTCCTTAAGGGCGCAATACTAAATTTGAAAAAATCACCGAGGGCGCAATTTTACAGATAATCAGACAGGTATCAATAGGCATTAAAAAAAACAGATTTTTTTCTTGGTGTCTTGAAACTTGGGTGTCCATATTTTCAGTTAATTTCTTATAATTGGGGATAGGTATATTTAGAGTTCCCGGTCCTTAAGCAATTATCTAAATTGTAGTAGTAGTTTTAAGTGCACGGTCTATGCGTGGTCTATTCTCAAAATACGATCACACACTATCAAAAAATACGTGCGTGTTATTAGATGCGCTCAAGGTTAGCACACTGCTAATCTATGCACAATCCTAAACTCAACCGACTGCTTGCCGTATATCGCCGTTTGACAAGAGTAAGTAAATCGCTCTGGCTATCATACATTTACATTATTTTATATTAGTCCAGCGAGGGCGCATTAAAACTCTCATCATCAATTCTCATCACTTTTAATTATTATTCTCATAATCCTCTCGCAGGTCTGCCGGAAGAGATTTCTTAAAGAAATAAGCAGTGCCTTTGTACATAATTTTCCTATTACTCTGTACTATATCTTCTTTTTTGTGTGTACATAAATCTATACTTATAAAGAGGAAAGATTTGTTTGTTTGTTTGTTTCGAATAGGCTCCGAAACTACTGGACCGATTTGAAAAATTCTTTTTCCATTAGAAGCCGACATTGTCCCTGATGAACATAGGCTACTTTTTTTTAATTTTTATTTATTTATTTTTTTTGGTTTCATGTGTGTTTTAATGTTTCCGAAGCGAAGCGAGGGCGGGTCGCTAGTAAATAAATAAAATAAATAATAAATAAAAATCGATCGGGGGCGCCGCGTTGCCGACCCCTGGATTAGGCTATACGAGTATGGTTACTGGAGTTTCTAAGCCTGCCTCTAGAGTTAAAGCTTCAGACGTGATGTGGGGAAGCTCTGCGCGTGGTTTTAGAACTTACTTTTTGCGGCTGCTGATTGTGTTTGTTCTTAATGTCGATCCAGAGTCTCGCGAGGTTGATGGCCAGACCTATCAGGGCGATTATGAAGAATTTCACCTGAAAATTTAATGGATATTGTAGTGTATTATAACCTCAGACAAGAGTCTACTGGTGGTAGGACCTCTTGTGAGTCCGCGCGGGTAGTTACCACCGCTCCGCCTATTTCTGCCGTGAAGCAGTAATGCGTTTCGGTTTGAAGGGTGGGGCAGCCGTTGTAACTATACTTATAACTTTAGAACTTATATTCCAAGATGGGTGGCGCATTTACGTTGTACATGTCTATGGGCTCCAGTAACCATTTAACTCCAGGTGGGCTGTGAGCTCGACCACCCATCTAAGCAATAAAAAAAGAGACACTTAAACGCCACCCGGGACCAGTATTCTGAGTACCCCTCAACTATCACGAATTACATGTGTACTGATTTGTACTGGTGGTAAGACGTCTTGTGAGTCCGCACGGGTAGATACCACCGCCCTGCTTATTTCTGCCGTGAAGCAGTAATGCGTTTCGGTTTGAAGGGTGGGGCAGAAGGACCACACCCTCTCCCGTCCGCAGCGCTCATACTCATGATACTTCTTCGTTGATCCCTCATAACTGATCGCGATCACATGTATGTAAGACTTTTCACGAAAGTCGGTCCGCTGCGAGGGAGACCGCCTGTTGGATGCTGTCTCCAACTACTCATGATACACGAGTGCCGAAATATAGAGTTAGTCTTCTATTATTGATCGAAGGAGTTAGTAAAACTACCAGTAATTATCCTGAAGCATTTTCATTGATTATCGACATTTGAATCGCGGACGCAATTGGAATGACGTAAAAATACGAATACCCCCCCCCCCCACGCTTTGAATAAAATTCTTAAAAATATATTATAGGAGCACAATAATGGTTTCAAACAACGAGAACTGTACCAAAATAAATAAATTGTAAGCGAAATTTTAACTGTGAATTTTAATTAAATTATTCTTCTGCCTATTCGTACACTCTTGACAGAGTGGTCGTGGTCATGCATAAGTCGGATCCTGCGATACCGATGCTCTCGCGATGCGACGCCATGTGGCACGATGTTTCGCAGAGTGAGTCATGTTGGAGTGAGTCACAGATTTGATGAGGTCGGTCCATCGTGTTGAAGATCGTCGGCAAGATCTTTTGCCCTTGACTTTCCCTTGCACCACCAACCGCTCAATGGAGTCCTCATTACGAGTGATGTGCCCGAAGAACTTGAGGATTCGTATTTGGGCTGTTGACGATAGTCTCTCCTTGATGTTGAGGAGTTAAGTATTCTGTTGTTAATTAGATGTTAATCTATACTAATATATAAATCTACAGTGGTTTTTACGGATGTTCCGTTATAACTACTGAACCACGCATCCGATTAACTTGAAACTTGGTATCCATGTAGAAAATACATGAACTTAATGGATAGTCTAATATTTATATGAGTGTTGGACTCCCTGCACCAGTTGCGGGGGCGTTGATAATGAGAATATTTGTGGGCTGGGAAATAATAATGTCAATTTTAAATGCCTAGCGAAGTGGACGGGTACAGCTAGTTAGATTATATTTCTTCCTAAATACAATATACCAAGACAATACGTTAAAATTCATAGCTTACAATATACGATGGTGAAGTGGCGTGCTGATAGTTAGCAAACAGACAGCCCGCCCCTAGCCGCGGTCCCCGGGGGGCCGAGATGGGGGACGGAGGGGGGACACGCGATGACGAGCACTGCAGCACGATAATGACTCACCTGGAGCTTGAAGGACAGGATCTGCAGCAGGGTCCCGATCTTAGCCTTGAGGACGGCGCCGAGTATCAGTAGTTTGAGGATCGCTTTCTTCTTTTTCTTCTTCTTGCCTCTCTGTTCTAAAGTTATTGTTTGGAAGAATTAGGTAACTATATAGTGCAAGAAAGGTATAGTAGTTGTTGCGAGGTAAAAGGGTGACAATCTCGAAAGACTTCTCAATTACCGGCAAAGTGGAAGGAAAGAGGCCTAGGGGACGTAGTCCTATGCGCTGGTCCGATCAGATTAAGACGACTTTGGAATCCAGCATCAATCCACTGCGCGGAGGACAAAAGTGGATGGAGGAACATAGTCCTAACAAAAGTGCTCAGTAAAGGTCACGACCCTTAGAACTGAGGAATACGACGCACGGAGGCGGATAGTACAAGAAGGTACTGGTTTTATTGGCGAGTGTGGCCCACGGACAGATGCCGTCGGTGAGGTTCTTCGCCAACAGTGATGCTTTACTGTTTGGTAGCAGTCGCAACATACAAATGAGAATTCAATCTTTAATGATGGTAATGTAAGGTTCATGTTGCCATGACAATGTCCTTTAGTAATCTGTCTGAAAAGGACACGTTTTAGCGGATTCTATTAATATTGCTACTAGCATGCGTGTTGCATTGACATGCCAATGTGTTGACAAACATTATTCATGATGACCTCAAAGAGCGTACGTGCAACGAACCTGTAGCTTCCTGACTAAGAGACACGCATGCAACTAACCCACTAGTCATATAAATAGTCCAAACACAAACTATTCATGCATTTCATACTCAAAATAAACGCTAAAAAAAGTTTTTACCAAAATATTTCTTCACCTAAAGAACAGAAGTGAGAAATTTAAAATTAAAATTGAAAAAGAAAAATGAAAATATGGTTAACTTTAACTTTTTTGATTATAAGTTTAAATAATGTATCAAACGGCTTAAACATGTCACTGAAAAGAATTGTATGTCAAATAACATACAAAATTCACTCGGGAATAAATAATTGATCTGGTAAAAGATTATCTGACTCTGCACATTCCCGATCCTGCGGACAGAGTGGAAAGCAGTCGACGTCACCCAAAACCCGTCATTTCGGATCCTCCCGATCCACTAACGGTGCTTTTAGGTGCCTCAAGCACCGGTCATCGTTCTCGTCGAACTAGTAAATTAACCCATAGACATGACCCACTGAGTTTCTCGCCGGATCTTCTCAGTGGGTCGCGCTTCAGATCCGGTGGTAGGTTTTTTTTTTATTGCTTAGATGGTTGGACGCGCTCACAGCCCACCTGGTGTTAAGTGGTTACTGGAGCCCATAGACATCTACAACGTAAATGCGCCACCCACCTTGAGATATAAGTTCTAAGTTCTCAGTATAGTTACAACGGCTACCCCACCCTTCAAACCGAAACGCATTACTGCTGCACGGTAGAAATAGGCAGGGTGGTGGTACCTACCCGTGCGGAATCACAAGAGGTCCTACCAACAGTTTCTGCGAAGCACGGCTCTTGCTAGGGTTCGTGTTAGCAACGTCGTCAGGTTTGAGCCCCGTAAGCTCACCTACTTGTTAAGGTTATGCTGAAATAGCCTCTCAAGGCTCTCAGCTAGGTAGGAAAAAAAATGACTCTTCAGGAGTTCCTCCACGGGTCCTTGAAGCTCTCAGGGTCTCAACGGTCGAAACACGAAACCTAGAAAATTCTATTACACACATTCCACCCTTCACCAACCTGGCGGCGAACTCTTATCAGTGACTCCATTCTCTAAGTCCTCATCCTGGATAGCATGCTCAGCCACAGAGTCGATAGCGTCCGCTCCCATGGACCATATGTCGGCTATCACCCCCCTGCCTTGCCTGAAGCTACCATCAGCCATTTCAAATGAGTCCGTTTCAGTCAAGTTCTCAATTTGAGGTAGATTTGGGTGGGACTGTACTGGGTCTGTTTGGGGCGATGTCGGGTCTGATTGGGTCAAATCAAAGTCGTCGGTCGTGTCAAGATTCCTCTCCCCAATCACCCAGCTCTGGACTCGAGCTTCGCGACCTTTCTCTTGTTTCTTCATCATTATGGGATGGAGGAGGTGGATCTTGGGCGGTTTCGGCTTTTTCTTTTTCATTTTCTTCTTTTCGCCCCCGGTTGAGATGGTGATGCTGTCGATCCCGCCACTTTCATGTTTCTTCCCTTCCAGGGATCTGAAAAGGCAAGATATTTTATGCTCAACTCATAAATTTAAAAATTTTCAATTTTTTTGAATACGTGCTCGTGGTAAGAACTTATTAAACTGTTTTTACTAAGAAACTCCTTCCTGATCCTCAATGTCCTAAAGCTTCCTCTATTATAATAAAATAATGCTTCTCTACTAAGGATCTAGCGATCCTCGTGTGTGCATTTGAAAGTAATAGCAGGATAAGGCTGTGGGACTATAAAACCAAGTCGTTCTTGCGACTTTTATATGGAAGTATATTTTTCTTATTTTTTTTATTGCTTAGATGGTTTGACAAGCTCACAGCCTGCCTGGTGTTAAGTGGTTACTGGAGCTCATAGACATTTGCCCCGCCCTTCAAACCGAAACGCATTACTGCTTCACGGCAGAAATAGGCAGGGTGGTGGTACCCACCCGCGCGGACACACAAGAGGTCCTACCACCAGTAAAATTCGCGAGTGGCTTCCACGATGAAGGAATAACGTATTCTCAACTGCACCAGAATTCGGCAAGCGGGTCCCGCACTCTATCTGTCTACCCTGAATGTGTTTGGTCGTGAAAATACACGAAACTCTCGCTCTTAGTCATAAATACCGGTGAAACTTGTTAATATGCAACACATTACACTTTCGTTATTTGATATAACACTTTCGGATTGCGACGAATGATATTGGTGCTTCTCAAACATCAACAATGAGTCTACCAATATATTTTTCTTCTTTTTTTATTGCTTAGATGGGCGGACGAGCTCACAGCCCACCTGGTGTTAAGTTATTACTGGAGCCCATAGACATCTACGATGTAAATGCGCCACCCACCTTGAGATATGAGTTCTAAGGTCTCAGTATAGTTACAACGGTTGCCCCGCCCTTCAAACCGAAACGCATTACTGCTTCACGGCAGAAATAGGCAGGGCGGTGGTACCTACCCGTGCGGACACAAGCTCCTACCACCAGTAAAAGATTGAGAATTGCTACCACTAGCCTTAGCAAGAGCAGTGCTTCGTTAAATCTACTACCGGATCGGAATCGCAACCCACTGAGAAGATCCGGCGAGAAACTCAGTGGGCTGTGTCTATGAGCTAGTTCGCACGTGGAACTCTACGTCAGAATCGAATAGTTCGACAAGGACGGTGACCGGTACTTGAAGAGCTTAGAAGCACCGATAGTGAAGTCTACCAATCAACGCATATAATTCGACTGATGTTCATTGTAAGAAACTAGCTGACTCGGCAGACTTCGTAGTGCCTCAATCGATAAATAAAAGACCTAAACTTTTGTATAAAATAAACTTAAAACAAACAAAAGGAAGCCGTCCGACGGGGGACACATCAAAGGAAAAACAAAATTGTTATTTTTATTTAATTCCGAGCATTTTCATTCATTTATCTACCATTTAAACCTTCTCTGGACTTCCATAAATAATTAAAGACCAAAATTAGCCAAATCGGTCCAGCCGTTCTCGAGTTTTAGCGAGACTAACGAACAGCAATTCAATTTTTAGGTAATTTCAATTAGGAGGCAATTATGTTTAAATTTAATTGAATCCGATTGCTACCAAGCTTCACGGAGCGGCCGCTAAGCCAACCAGAATATCACAGTTTTATCGTAATATTTCCAGCCGTTTCTAAGTCCAGTGTGCTCAGTGAGAGTTTTTTAACTTCTTTATCGCGTATAAGTTAACTCAAATTTGTATGGAGTTGGAACAGCGCCCCTAGCGTCAAACGAAGACTTTTACGCGTTCGACAAGTATAAAAACTCGCACTAAGCAACCCTAGGTAGCTTTGACCAGCCCATACCGTGGGCCTCGAAGGTCAAATACCTAGGCGTCACCCTCGACAGAGGGATGACATTCCGTCCCCACGTAAAAACGGTACGCGATCGCGCCGCGTTTATACTAGGACGACTCTACCCAATGCTTTGTAGACGAAGCAAACTGTCCCTCCGTAACAAGGTAACCCTCTACAAAACTGGCATACGCCCCGTCATGACGTATGCAAGCGTAGTGTTCGCTCACGCGGCCCGCACCAACTTGAGACCCCTTCAGGTCATATAATCCCGATTCTGCAGGATAGCCGTCGGAGCACCATGGTTCCAGAGGAACGTGGACCTCCACGATGACCTGGAGCTCGACCCCGTCAGTAAGTATCTACAGTCGGCATCGCTGCGCCACTTTGAGAAGACGGCACGACATGAGAACCCTCTTGTCGTGGCCGCTGGAAACTACATACCCGATCCTGTAGACCGAATGGTAAACCGTCGACGTCGCCCAAAGCACGTCATCACGGATCCTCCTGATCCATTAACGGTGCTTTTAGGCAATACAAGCACCGGTCACCGTCCTCGTCGAACCCGTCGCTTGCTACGAAGGGCTCGACGAGCAAATTAACCCACAGACACAGCCCACTGAGTTTCTCGCCTAATCTTCTCAGTGGGTCGCGCTTCCGACCCGGTGGTAGATTCTGCGAAGCACTGCTCTTGCTAGGGTCAGCGTTAGCAATTCTCCGGTTTGAGCCCCGTGAGCTCACCTACACAAGCTAGGGTAAGCTGAAATAGCCTCTCAAGGCTATCAGCATAGGTAGGAAAAAAAAAAAAAAAGATTGTACTTACGGTGTGTCCTTGGAAACTTTTAATTGGTTTGTCAGCATTTAATTTACAAACGTGTATACACTGGTCAGTAGAACATGAAGCAAAGGATGTATTTGTCTGCCAGTCTACATCTAGTGCTGGTGCTAAATGGAATGAGAATTGTTGGGTACATTGACCTGTTGAAGCATCCCATATGATCGTTGTTTTATCAACCTAAAATAATTATTATGTCAATTCTAAGCTTATTTTTACATATCTTACTCTNTATAATCGTCTCCTTCAAAGAATACGGTTCAAAACCTGCATTAAATAAAGGTTAATAGTTAACCTGTTATTTATCTAAGATGTCGTTCCGAAGAGTTTTGTGACTGCCAATGGAATACAACGTCAATAATTCGTTTTTCTGATTTACCAATCATTGTCCAAAAGTCAGATTGCCGGCTTTGATAATAGTCGACTCATTTGACGTTGTTTTATTGTTTAAAATAAAATAACACTTATTGCGGAATAACTATAATAGTTGGACATATGCTGTCGCGGCACTTTTTGTAAATAGGGATACTCATTTTTTTTTTAAAAAGATTGTAGCCTATGTCACCCGGGAATAATGTAGCTTCCAAACAGTCAAAGAATTGTTCAAATCGGTTCAGTATTTTCGGAGCCTATTCAATACAAACAAATAAACAAATCTTTCCTCTTTATAATATTAGTATAGATGAGTCTACCAATATATTTTTTCTCCTACCTACGCCGAAAGTCTAACTTTTCCTCCCGCTGTACCGGGAAGAAAGTGTAACTTTTCCTCCCTGGGTACTGACAAGTGCGCATGCGCGTTAGTGTCTACGTCTGCTCTCACGCACCTAAAATTCTCCGCCATTGTTGTGCTCGGGTAATTTGCAATATTGTGTTTAGTGTAAAAGTGAAATAAACAAAAGGCAATAAAATTTAATGGTGAAGTATTAAACAAAGATGAGTTCATCAGACAGTTCTTATTCATTAGTAGTAATTTATTTAAAAATTAAAAAACAGTTAAATTGTTTTTTTAGGAGTGTCTACAGAACACCCTTCGGCTTGGGTGGCAATTGTACATGCGGGAGGAAATGTCCAACTTTGTGCAACTTGGTGCACAATGTACTATTTTTCCTATCTAATCGCCGGTAGCGAGGCTATTCCAACTTCACGCGTATCGGTAGGTGATATCACGGGCTCGACCTGACAGTTTTATTTATTTATTTCTTAGATGGGTGGACGACCTCACAGCCCACCTGGTGTTAAGTGGTTACTGGAGCCCATAGACATCTACAACGTAAATGCGCCACTCACCTTGAGATATAAGTTCTAAGGTCTCAGCGTAGTTACAACGGCTGCTTAGTGTGAGTTTTTTAACTTCTCGATCGCGTATAAGTTAACTCAAATTTGTATGGAGTTGGAACAGCGCCCCTAGCGGCAAACGAAGACTTTTACGCGTTCGAGAAGTATAAAAACTCGCACTCAGCAACCCTAGGTAGCCCTGCTATAACGCGGTAGATATATTACGTTCCAAAAAAGTCCCGTGTTGGGTGAAATCGTGTTATATGAGATTAGAAGCCAATACAAAAAGGAGAGTAATTTTAGCTGAATGATATTTATTATCTCTTAATTTTATCTCACCTACGCCTGCATTTATTTTTTGAACTATTATACGTAAAAAAAATAGGCAGTGAAATTTCGGTTATACCCATCACTACATGGTATAAAACAAAGTCGCTTTTTCTGTCCCTATATCTATCCCTATGTATGTTTAAATCTTTAAAACTACGCAACGGATTTTGATGCGGTTTTTTAATTTATTTATTTAAGGATTACCGACAGGGTTTACAGTAAGTAAGACATAAAATAACATTGACATGTATAGAGCAATTGATAACTGCAACTCTAATTAGAGGCAATCACAGCATGCATTACATTAATATATCAATAGAGATTTAACAATACTATTAATTAAATTAATAATAAAAAATTAAAAACAAAAGAAAGACAACAAGGACAGTAATACCCGAGCACTCAGACCAAGGCTGAGGCTGAGGTTCAACAACAACTTTTTATAATTTTGTTCTTGAATATTGGAAGGGAATCGCCAAATTTTAATATGTCAAGGTTTTTAACTTTTCTAACTAGATTATTATAAAGATAGAGTGATTGAAGAGGAAGGTTTATATGTATAATAACATCCATTAATTAATGGAGAAATCAATAATAAATAAGCGAAGTGAGGGAGGGTCGCTAGTGTATTATATATTGTGTGTTTATAATACATAATGTAATTAACTAAATAGTTTTAAACAATAATCGCGTTTTTATGTTGCAGTAATACCGTGATAGATTTAAAAGGGTTTTTGGGGAATTTATCTTTTCGTGTTATAGTGGTACCGTGTTGTAAAATACCGCGTTATAGAAGTGTTACCTGTATATATATACACACGGAATAGATAAATAAGATAAATAACCTTATTTATCTATTCCGTGTATATACACATAGACAGATCGACTTTCATAAATATTAATTGAACATTCCGTTAGCTCATTAAGCTTCACCCACATAACCATGCAAAGGCTCTCCCACCGTAATGGGTTTAATTACCATTTCATTCGAACAATAAGTATCATTATACCGCAAAAATATAATTATCTAGAAGTTTGATCTAGATTTTAGACGTTTTAGTATGTCTTAAAGATCGGTCACGTCGATCTTCGACGTATATGGATATGTTGGTCGTTTTTTATGTTTGAGATATTTCTGGTGGCCCGGAGGCCTTTCCAGTTTCACCAGGAGGGGTGGGATTTGATAACAGCTGCCGGAGCGCCTCCGAAGGAGATCTAACAACTCAAGAGTAACTGCTTCGCGAATGAATCTACTACCGGATCGGAATCGCGACCCGCTGAGAAGATCCGGCGAGAAACTCAGCGGGCTGATGTTTGGGTTAAGTTGCACGTCAAACTCTTTGCCGAGTTCGACGAGTATGGTTACCGGGGTCCCTACTCCTAGTGTTAGAGCTAAATGTGTCTAATGTAAGGGTTATTGGATCTGATGGATCCGCGAGGACGCGTTTAGGGCATATTGGTATGTGCTGTGGCTGTTTGTAGCCCTAGTGATGGTAGCGTCCAAGAGCTATGAGTGAACCATCAGGGACATATTGTGACGCCGGTAAGGGTAGAGCCATCTATCGCCGACTAGTCGAACGAATATCGAAGGATCTAGTAGCACCTGGAACGCTCGAGAAGTACAACGGCATCTATTGTCAGATAGCGGAAACACAATACTAGAGATGTGTGGAATATTCTCAATAATTCTAGGGATGAGGTATCGACTATAAAGCGTTGCAGGGATGGCACGCAGTCAGTCAGTAATCGGTACTACTCGAAGCGAAACAGCGAACGGATCACCTGAAGCGAAGCGGAAGAAGCGAATTGAGGATTTTAAAGTGTTTAAGTGTTCTAAGTGTTGAATACAGTTTTTAGTTGTAGATGACTTGCCTAGAAAAGGTTAGGGCTGCAGTTGGTGTACTGGTAAGGCATATTATGAGCCCGCACGGCTAGGTACCACCACCCTGCCTATTTCTGCCGTGCCCCGCCCTTAAAACCGACACGCATTACTGCTTCACGGCAGAAATAGGCAGGGTGGTGGTACCTACCCGCGCGGACTCACAAAAGGTCCTACCACCAGTAATAACGAGTCCCAATCACCTGCGATAGGCAGCGGGGGTGGACACCCGGTTTCACTTGTCTAAATACAGTAGATTGAGGGGAATAGGGACTAGAAGTAGAATAGGGACAAATTTGGGATGTCACAATACTTTTGTTGTTGTTAGAGATTTAACTTTGTTGAACAAAAATGACTTTTATTTAGTGTTTAAGAATATTAAATAGTCTAATTTAGTCATCAGAGTTTTGTAACTCATTAAAGATATTAAAAAATTAATTACCTAAGGTACCTACCTAACAACTAAATAGTGCCACCCCTATCGGAAAACTATTCATCCCTTAAGCGACCCGATTCACCCCGATCACCGGGTGAATAGGGACAAGCGAGTTTTTGTAACTTTTTATGATTATTCTTTAATAAACTATATTTTAATGAATTATAAATGAAAGTTTTAAGCTACCAGAAACATTATGATCTCCGTTTTATTTTTACCGTAATTATAACTACAAAAAAATTATAAAAATCAATGTCGAACTTAAAAAGTGTCCCGATTCTCCCCATTTCATGGTACTTAGATAGATCATTAATCTTCTTAAAACAAACGTACTTATAAGGTTTTAAGATTGAGTACCTACTCATTGAACAAATATTTATCACTCTAGATGGGTAGACAAGAGCACTTCCCACCTTGTTATTAAGTGGTAGCTTGAGATACGTACACTTAAAACCGGACCAAGTCAAGCTTGTTCCGATTTCAGAAAAATACGAAAAGTTTAACTTAAAATCAGGCGAGCCGTGTTCCGGTCGGGCGATTTGCGATAAATGAACATAGATCGCCATGTATCTGAACTTTAGATTTTAACTGAACGCGGATCCTTTGCTCTTAATGGAGTGTTGATATCGCCCGACAATAAACACGAACTACCCTACAATTCTACAATGGCCACTTACGATCAAAGGCCACGGTCTGCATCAAATTGATTAGTAATAAATTTTTTTAATAGATTAAGCGAATTCTGTAACCATCACATCGGATTTCGAAAGTCGTGCGTGGAACTTTCACATTTGTCCGAGTTGAGGCGAAATGTTGAAAAATGACTTAAGCCATATATTATGTATATCTATATATTAATACGTGAAGCAAAAACTTTGTATCCCTCTTTACGAAAATTGCGCGGACGGAGGAGTATGAAATTTCTCACACTTATAGAGAAGATAGAGAAGAAGTGCACAATGCTAATATATTTTTTTAAATAATGCATAAAAAATACATTAAATCAATAAAGTAAACATTACACACACTACATACCATGTATTTGACGCACACACGCATGCATACTATTTATTGTCAAACTTTTGTTCTTGACGTCTGTGGTCAAATTGAGAATAGATTAAATATTGTTTGTCTTTATTAATATTTTTCTATAGTGTATGTAGTCTTAGCGAAATTTGTGATTATAGAAGTATAAAATACAATCATAATAGTGTACAAACTTACAATTACAATTAATTATAGTCGAGTTTCAACTACTGCGGGACCTCTAGTCCATATAAATAATAATCAGAATAAGATGTGTGTTTGTACGTATGGGCACGATGAACAGAATAGCGTCTCCTGGCTTGTGACGCGAGGTCAATCTTTCGATTAAAGACAGAGCTTACTAACTTGAACTTTTAACTATTCAAAGTTCACTGTCCGTTAATATATTGGCATTGTTAATGGCACGTGGGAACGGCTAAAATAGTGCGTGACCGGTCATCGTTCTCGTCGAACCCGTCGCTTGCGACGTAGTGCTCGGCGAGTAAATTAACCCACAGACTATAATTATAATTTGCGTAATTACTGGTGGTGAGTCCGCACGGGTAGGTACCACCATCTGCCGTGAAGCAGTAATGCGGTTCGGTTTGAAGGGCGGGGTAGCCGTTGTGACTATACTGAGGCCTTAGAATTTATTTCTCAAGGTGGGTGGCGCATTTACGTTGTAGATGTCTATGGGCTCCAGGAACCACTTAACACCAGGTGGGCTGTGAGCTCGTCCACCCACCTAAGTAATAAAAAAAAAGTCAGCCCACTGAGTTTATCGCCGGATCTTCTCAGTGGGTCGCGTTTCCGATGCGGTGGTAGATTCTGTAGATTGTCTCTTTGGCTAATAAGTTTGCCGACCACTGTCTTAGACCTTGCTCTAGTGTCTGACCAGAGATGCTTCGTCCAAGATTGCCTTGAGATATTCTTTTTAAGCTTATAGAACTCCTAAGTAGCTGCCAATACACTGTAATGATGATGACCCTCGATAAATACCTGGCCATACTCCCGTGTAGGAACTTAGTCAGGCTATTCAAGGATTCTTCCACTTCCTCGCCGATTTGTGAGGGCATCTCCTGTAGAGAGCGGCCTGAACTTCTGACTTCAGCATCAGCTTCCTCTGTGAAAGAAAACACAATATTATTTTATGGGTAGGTAAGTGTTTATGCCACAAACCAGTCATGAGAGCCGGTTTCAAAGGCGGACCTATACATAATACGAAGTAGACTTAGATCTCAGGGGTTGGCAGCATTATTGGACGTCTTGTGAGCTCTAGGATAGGTATCACCGCCCTGCCTATTTCTGCCGTGAAGCAGTAATGCGTTTCGGTTTGAAGGGTGGTGCAGCTGTTGTACTGTAAAACTAAGACTCAAAACTCTCAAGGTATCTCAAGGTGGGGCATTTAGGTGGAAGTCAATCGTGAACATTTGTTAAGTACGTAGTATTTTCATTGTTATAGTATTCAATGGCCGTCTGGTGTAGTGGTAAGTGACATGGTCACTACACAAGGAGGTCGCGGGTTCGAATCCCGCCAAGGGAAGATATTTGTATGATAAATATAAATGTCTTTTCCAGGGTTATGGATGTATATTTAATATATGTATGTGTATAATAAAAATCTTACATTTATTTCCGTTATCTGGTACCTGTAACACAAGTTCTTTACGAACTTAGCACGGGACCAGTTAACGTGGCGTGATTGTTAGTAAATATTTATTTATTTATTTATTAAAAAAACAAAAAACAAAAGAAAAATCATCCAATTTCCCCTATAACCTTTCATCCTCTAACTCACCCTGTTAGGGTGAAATTTTTCTAATGAAATACGTCCTTAGCAATTGTTCACAATTGACTTCCGCGGTGAAGGAATAACATCGTGTAATAGGAATCAAACCCGCAAAATTATGATTTGCGTAATTACTGGTGGTAAGGACATCCTGAGTCCGCACGGGTAAGTACCACCGCCCTGCCTGTTTCTGCCGTGAAGCAGTGATGCGTTTCGGTTTGAAGGGCGGGGCAGCCGTTGTAACTATACTGAGACCTTAGAACTCATGTCTTAATGTGGGTGGCGGCAATTATCTTCTGGATGTCTATGGGCTCTGGTCACCACTAAGACGTGATTTAGTTTACTCACTAAGAACCAGAACAAACAACTGTGTTATCACACAATTTAGTTTCACACGATCGCAACATAATGTATTGTGAAAGTGATAAAACCGTGAAACGATGGAGAAAATTGTTTGTGTACGTCATTAACACTGTCATTAGCTTTCGTTCGTTTGTTTTATTGTCATCGAGTATTTAAACTGTCGCTAGGGATCTAGCTTCGTTAAAATTTTACTGGTGGTAGGACCTCTTGTGATTCCGCACGGGTAGGTACCACCGCCCCGCCTATTTCTGCCGTGAAGCAGTAATGCGTTTCGGTTTGAAGCCGGTGGGGCAGCCGTTGTAACTATACTGAGACCTTAGAACTTATATGTCAAGGTGTGTGGCGCATTTACATTGTAGATGTTTATGGGTTCGAGTAACCACTTAACACCAGGTGGGCTGTGAGCTCGTCCACACACCTAGGCAATAAAAAATAAATAAAAAAAAGTGCTCCATTTGAACTATAGGTGTTGATGTAACTCAAAGGTAGTTTTATGAGTCCTTAGCGGTAGTCGTCCACTAAGTTTCTCACCGGATCTTCTCAGTGGGTCGCGTTTCCGATCCGGTAGTAGATTCTGCGAAGCACTGCTCTTGCTAGGGTCAGTGTTAGCATCACTCCCGGTTTGCGCCCCGTGAGCTCACCTTCTAGTTAAGATTACGCTGAAATAGCCTAGCTAGAATAGAAAATCGGCAGTCAGTTGCTTGGCTGTGCCTCTGACTTTTGCTTCTGCGACCAACAGTGACCAATCACCATTACTAAAGCATTGCTTAGATGGGTGAACGATCTCACAGCCCACGTGGTGTTAAGTGGGTACCGGAGCCCATAGACACCTGCGACGTAAATACCGCCTTACACCTTGAGACAAGAGTTCTAAGGTCTCAGTATACCTAGTTAGTTACAACGGCTGCCCCACCCTTCAAACCCTAACGCATTACTGATTCACGGCAGAAATAGGTAGGGTGATGGTACCTACCAATGAAGACTCAAGATGTCCTGCCACCAGTAATTACGCAAATTATAATTTTGAAGTCAGAACCTTACTTCAAAAGTTATAGTGTTCATCCAACTTCCACTATAACCTTTCATCCCCTAACTCACCCTGTTAGGCTGAAATTTTTCTAATGAAATACGTCCTTAGCAATGGTTCACGATCGACTTCCATGGTGAGGTATAACATCGTGCAATAAAGATCAAACCCGCAAAATTATAATTTTCGTAGGTGGTAGGACCTCTTGTGAGTCCGCACGGGTAGGCTGTGAAGCAGTAATGCGTTTCGGTTTGAAGGGTGGGACAGCTGTAACTATTGTAACTATACTGTATATTGTAACTATATTGTAACTATACTATATTGTAACTATACTGAGACCTTAGAACTTATATCTCAAGGTGGGTGGCGCATTTACGTTGTGGATGTCTATAGGCTCCAGTAACCACTTAACACCAGGTGGACTGGAGCTCGTCCATCCATCTAAGGCCTAAGCAATAAAAAAAACTTAAAAAAAAACGTGGTAATGTATCGGCTATTACAAGGTTGTCTTTTGAGCTCATGATATAGGAATAGGCACACGTTGAATGAGATAATTGAAGTGGTTCAAGGGGGAAACACAATGCCGCCATCGCCCGAAAAATTCCTCGTTGGATACCCCGGATCCACTCTCAGAGCTTTTAGGACCCTCGAGCACCGGTCACGGCCCACTGAGTTTCTCGCCGGACCTTTATTTTTATTGCCCTTGTAGGCAGACGAGCATACGGCCCACCTGACGGTGAGTGGTTACCGTCGCCCATGGACTCCAGCAATGCCAGGGGCAGAGCCAAGCCGCTGCCTACCGCTTAATACTCTCCACAAGCCTCGTTTGAAGAAGGACATGTCATAGCGCTCGGGAAACACCGTGGAGGGGAGCTCATTCCATAGCCGGATGGTACGTGGCAGAAAGGATCTATATATCTTCTCAGTGAATCGCGATTCAATGGTAGATTCTGCGAGGCACAGCAGCAGTTAGCAGTGTTAGCAAATTCTCTCAGGTTGAGCCCGTGAGCTCACCTACATGTCCAGACATAGCTGAAATAGCCTCTTACGCAACCAACGATTAGGTAGAAACAAATAAGGTTCGCGGTATATATATATATATTTTTTTTTTATTGCTTTCGATAGGCAGACGAGCTTACGGCTCATCTGATGGGAAATGATAACCGTCGCCCATAGACATCCAAACTATATCAGTGACTCAGATGCGCTGCCTATCCTGGCCTGGATGGGCAGCCTTATGTATGTTACACCGGCTATCCTGTCCTTCAGACCGGAACACAGTATTACTGTTTTGCGGCAGAAATAGACAGGACGGTGGTACCAACCCGGGCGGGCTTCTACACAGAACCCTACCACCTGTTAAATACGCAAATTAAATTGCGGGTTTGTTTTTTATCAACAGCGTTTTCCTTCACCGCGGAAGCATCTCGTGTACTCACAATGTACATATGTTTGTTGGAAAAATCCGAAAACACATTGGTGCATGTCCGGATTCGAACCCGGTCCTGTTGTATGCAAGACCGAGCGCTAACCGTTCGACCACGAGCGCTTCAAAATCGCATATATCGCGCTGGCGAAAAATAAAATTATTCTTCTCTATCACCACGGCTGTCAGCGCTGAGCTTACAACAGTCTATAATCATACTTTTTAAAAAAAAAAAACAATTATTAAAATAATCATACTACAATATTATTGATTAAAGAAGTACGGTTTTATTAAACTAAAATTCTAATTATCTCTGTCTATATATTTATAAATGAATTGCTGTTCGTTAGTCTCGCTAAAACTCGAGAACGGCTCGACCGATTTGGCTAATTTTGGTCTTGAATTATTTGTGGAAGTCCAGAGAAGGTTTAAGAGGTAGATAAATATGAAAATGCTCGGAATTAAAAATAAAAATAAGAATTTTGTTTTTTCTTTGATGTGTCCTCCGTCGGACGGATTCCTTTTGTTTGTTTTAAGTTTATTTTATATCAAAGTTTAGGTATTTTCTTTATCGATTGAGGCACTACGAAGTCTGCCGGGTCAGCTGGTATAGAAAAATAAAATAGAAAAGTAAAATAAATCGAAAGAAGCGAGGATGAAACGAACTAATTTCCCACTATAATAGTGGGCGTTTATGGGAACTTCAGTGGACATTTTTGAAGAGCCACGCCCAGCCATTTCGTTTCTTTACCTCCAGATACTAAGCGATAAATAAGCCACCATTATTACACGTTAGAGTGTCTATTATCAATATTGTCGTCCATAATTATTATGAAATATTTTTTGTGTATCTCAGGAATGTGGACAAGATAGGACTATTATAACAAATTACATTATTATTTTAGCAACGTTTCGGTCTCTTATTAGACCTTCATCAGGCATCTGAAAATTACACATAATTGATAACCTACAATACAAAAAACAACAATTGTCGAAACTACCATATTTACCATAATATGAATTTAAATAATCCCTATCTTACACTGCACAATTGTCTCAGACATCAGAGACTAATACAAATCTACAAAGCCGCTAAATTATTTAATTACTATTTTTGATTCCGGANACCACAGATAATATAGAAGTATTCATTTACATAAATGTAAATTTAGATGCGACAAGAAAAAGTAATTTCTGTTGGAAGTTTTCGATTTCTTTGACTGTATTTTGTAGTTTTAAAAAGAAAATTGTTTCACAGAAAAATTTGGTCAAAGTACCTACATCCCACCTACAAAGCACAAGATATATTAGTACAATAAAGGTTACCGTGGTGATAGACATTGACAGCGTCAACGGCCTACGTGACCAGCACGACTGTCAAAGTGGCCATGTTGGACTGAAGTTCCGGTTTCCAAAACAAAAAGAATTTTAACAGACTTCGAAAGTTAATCAGAAACGGCTTCATATACATCAGAGTAGAGCAATTATGTTGTTTATAATTAAAGCAATTAACAATCA